AAATTTATTCACAACTTGTAGTACTCCTCACATTTAAGTACATGGAATAATTTATTAAATAATATATAAATACCTCTAACCATAAAAAATAAATATATGAAATCATATACAAGCCTATGAATTTCACACTCTTAAGTAGTTACACATCTACAGTATAAACAAAAATTTTGTTTTTAAAATCTAATCATTCATATCAAAAGTATCATCTAGATGTGCAAAGCTGCTGAAATTTTCCCATAATATCTAATGAACATTAATATTCATACTGTGGAATTGTGTAACTACTTCACCATAATAGTATGATTATCTGATTATCAGTATAATAAGAAAATCATATACAAACCACTTTTTCTAATATTTGTTTCCAGTGCCACATTAACTACAAAAGGTTGTTGGTGCAGATTGTACACATTTCTCCTGGAACATGTTCCAATTTCATAATTGCAATTTGAGCAATTAAATAATAAGGAATAAAGAAGCATTTCTTAAAAGTTTATAAATCATTCCACCATTATTTTTCATCCTTTACTAAATCAGTTTCCAAATAACAGCTCATTTTGAAACTAATAGTGCGCATATTAACTACTGAGTATAAACCACAGTATTCTTCAAAGATAATATTCTTGAATGACATGCTTATCTTTTCATATCTCCTTTTAGATTTAAAAAAAAAGAAAAAAAAAAATTAATAATAATAATAATAATAATAATAATAATAATAATAATAATAATAATAATAATATCCATCCCCAATTCATAAGTTTTAACCCATTGGATCCAGGTGACATGACTGTCATGCCATAAAAACATTTGGCTGAGCTTCAGGTGACAGGAACGTGCCTCCATGAAAAATTTGGCTGAAGGCCACTGTATCAGAATGAGTGCACAAAGCTCGAGGAAGATTAAGACTTGAATTATTTCCACTAGTAAAGGCGGGTGGAATGTACCATCCATAAGCCATGGGTGAATGAGTGCTAGCATGAGTGAGGACACTATTTTCAAGCTCAGGATCATATCCCTCCCTGCTGTAACACATGGTGTGTTACCAAAAATCTTACAATGCACAATTAACAAAAATGTTACTTATTGTTACAGCTATTACACATAATAGTAGACTACCAAGAGAGATAATATGGAATCTGTGCAAGGAAAATAGTCTGTTACCTTTCTGATATAGCATATCAAATGACTAATACAGACCTTGGTAAATGGTAAAAAATGATTATGCAGGAAAAGGGATAACAACATTGCAAGGGGAAGATGAGGAGTCTTGATAAATATACAAATGTCTGTGTAGGCCAGGCCTACAAGCCATATACCAGGGAGAGTCACCACTCAAGTAAGCCTAATTTGCAGATTTTTCAGACAGATGCAGGCAGCAAGTGACCTGGATTCATCAGGTTAATAATGCATTTCCATATTCGGACTAACATTTAAGACCAACATAAAGGAATGTATCTTGTTTGACGTATATTGTTTAGAATTCCAGAATTCAAAAAATTTGCACCATACTTGTACATGGAAAAAGCAACCATTAAAGAATCTGTTCTTTGTTCACAAAATGTTTTCTGTTGCACAAAGAACAGACCATCCACTAATTAGGACCAAGCATAAGAAATATCACAAAATTAAGATAATATATACACTAACAAATTGCAAGGATTCAAAAGTAACAAAAAAGCAAAGTAACTGACTTTGCTGCCATCAAATTAAGAAAGAAGTGCTTGTCTTAACCTATACACATATCCAGAGAAGACAAACAATTTTCACTCAACAGAGAAAACTGATCAATAACCACACCATGGAAAGATGTATTCTGTCACAAAGATAATTATCAACCATATAAAATCATGCAATACCATACCAATAAACTGGTAAATCATAAAATGTATCATAGCTACAAGTTTCATAGGGTAATTTAAAATAAATATTAAGTACATCTCACACACTTAAGTAATATAATCTAATTCAAATATAAATATTGCCAGCTAGCTGGATTAAGAAAACATAACTGCCATATGACTGAGACAAAGTATACAGTATATGTTTTGGAAACATAATTAGTGTTGCCTTACAAATAATAACTTTTAAAAACTAGTAATACCGTATAAGTTATTTCATCTCTGGCTTAGTTCTGATAATCCAACAAGCAATCAAGATGCCTTATATCATTAAATGAGCATCACTTCCTGGCCTTATACTGACTAGCTTGACTAAGCTTGTACTGTGAGGAATTACTTAAGTACACCATAAGAATAATAAGCATATAAATATTTTACAAATTGACAATAAATCTAGGATAAAATATAAAGCATTATTTGGGGGAGATCTATTATATTGCCAACTTCTTTTTCTACTGTTTGAAATAAAGGTCTGTACTTACATGCATATAGAAATAAATTATTTTGGAATGCATTCTGGCAGAGGAATAAGTTCACAGGTACAATAAAGGCATCTGTTCATTACAATTTTGGCTGAAAATCTGCCTTCCTCGATGAAAAATAAAAAGCAACTCTCTCCTAAAGCAATCAAGATAATGATTTTCATGTACAAACATATCATTGCACAAAGAAAAATTCATAGCACACATTATGACTAGTTCTTGTCTTACAAAATCAAGAAGAAGAAATTGTTTAAGAAGCTAAATTCCTCATAACTTTGGAAACTTCTTAAAAAGACCTGAACACCTTAAAAAATAGAAGCCTTCAGACTATTCACAATCATCCTGAGGCTCCTGCTTAATTATAACATTGCACATACTACTAGTATTGACAATCGTATCACTCAGTGGTTCCTGTTTAATCACGACCCCATTTGGAAGAGACACTCCTGGCTCCTGTTTGATCACAACCTTTGGGATACTTACATCATTTTGTTCCTGAGGATCTTCGGGTTCCTTCTTCACTGTGGTTAGTATATCTGACTGAGCGGAATTTCCTGCACTGGATGAAGGCATACTTGTTGCTGGTTTTGAAATCACAACAGCCTGTTGAGAACTTGTAGTTGAGGTACTGGCAACAGTTGTTTTAGATGGCATTAGGACCATCTGTTGGGCAACACCTCCAGTTAATAATATAACTGGCTGAGACAGCATTAGTGGGTTTTGCTGAACAGAAGGCTGTGAAAGCAAAACCACCTGCTGGCCCCCCAACTGTGTTTGTGCAGTATCAGGCTGATGAATAACAAACCTTGGTCCACTACCATTGCTAGCTGGAGCTGTCACTATCATCTGCTTGTTGAGACCTAAGGAGTGTGGTACAACAAACTGAGCTCCTCCACTAACTTGGCCATTCTGGGGAGAAAGCACCATTATTTGCTTCCCCGCAAGATTTGCATTGGGTGCTGCTGCACTGCTGGCTGGGCAGAAAATCCTGATGTTCTTAACTTTTGCTACATCCCCTTTACTGTTGTTTACAGCATCTTCGGTTGCTTTTTTATTATTACTAGTTGAACCACTGGTTGGTGTTTTGACAGCTGCTGCCTTTCCTTTTAACAACTTTTCCTGAAGTTCGATAAATTCTTTGTAAGTCAGAGTTTTGGTCTTTCCCCCACTCTTGGTTTGCTCCACAGTCTTGTTTGATTTTTTACTTATCTCTTTTGCAATTATCTTTGCAGAGGAGACAATTTTAATTCCAGAATTTGTTGTTTTTGTTGCTTGGGAGCTGCTTGCCTGTGTGGTTGTTGCATTAGAAGTGTTGCTGGAAGATGCTGTCACAGCAGATGAGACTGGTTTATAAATGGTTCGAGGCTGTGGTGCTTTTGTTCCAAGAATACCAGAGTTGCTATCCCTTACAACAGTTTTCTCTGGAGCAGAAGCATCTACTTGCTTTAAATCTGCATGATGGAGGTCAATGTGACCTGTTATACTTGCCTGGGTTGCACAATAAACACCACAAATTGAACATTTGAAAGATTTAATTCCCTGATGACTTCGCATATGGCGTTTCACTTCATCATTCCTTGGGAATCCTTTCCCACAAATAGTACATCTGTAGGGTCTCTCACCAGTATGAAGCCTAATGTGGATCTTGTGCTTATGCCAGTGTCTGAAGCATTTCCCACAGTACTGACACTCATATGGCTTTTCTCCAGTGTGATTTCTACGATGAACCAAGAGACTCTTGGAATGCGTGAAGCGTCGCCCACAAACTTCACACTGGTAGGGAGTTTCTTTTGTGTGTGATCTCATATGGCTAGTCAAACCAGATTTGTCATAACATTTCTTTCCACACACTCCACACATATATGGCCGTTCACCATTATGAATTCTCATATGAATTGTGAAGCTTGTTTTATGAGTGTATGTGTTGGCACAAAGTTTACATTTATAAGGCCTTTCCCCTGTGTGGACTCTCATATGTAAAGTAACATAATGTTTCTGAGTGAATCTTTTCTTGCATATCTTGCACTGGAATGGCCTGGGTATCTTATGAGAATTAGCTCTGTGATTCAAGAAATCCTCTCTCTGATAAAATCTTTTTCCACAAATGCCACACTCATTGCGAATACTGACAGCATCTGTAACTTTTTCCACAGTCAAATCTGGATTACATGTTAATGGTTCTAACTCTTCTGTCTCACTAACAGCATCATCCTCTTGAGAGCCTATCTCTAGTTCTGGTTCTTCCATTTCATGGTCACTATTCTTATTTATGTCAAGTGGATCTTCATCGTTGAAGTCCATTCTCTCCTCAGGTTCCTCTTTAACTGACACGGAATGAACATCTTGTATGTGAAGACTCGACCCTTCCTTCAACATTCGCTGAGTCTCACTCTCAAGTTCTGTCTCTTCTTCATCCTCACGCTGCTCCAACTTAATCTTAAATGGCACTTTAACATCATCTTCCATGCATGGATGAGCATCATAATCCTTTTCACATCCAAATGCTCCCCCACAAAGCGTACATTCTATTGTGAATTCTCCCATTTTCAATCTTATTTTGAGTATACAAGATTTGGTAAACTCACTGACTATCCAAAAAGACTTATATATACACAGA